CAGCTACTTGGGAGGCTGAGGCAGAAGAATTGCTTGAACCCAGGAGGCGGATGTTACAGTGAGCTGAGATTGCATCACTTCACTCTGGCCTGGGCATCAGAGTGAGACTCCATCCCCCCAACCCCCTCAAAAAAGACAACAAAACACACACACACACACACACAACACAAAGTTAGCTGGGCATGGTGGTACATGCCTGTAATCCCAGCTACTCGGGAGGCTGAGGCACGAGAATCACTTTAACCTGGGGGAGGCGGAGGTTACAGTGAGCCAAGATTGCATCACTGCACTCCAGCCTGAGCAATATACTGAGACCCTGTCTGTACAATATATATATATTAAGAATAATTTGGCCGGGCGCGGTGGCTCACACTTGTAATCCCAGCACTTTGGGAAGCCGAGGCGGGTGGATCACGAGGTCAGGAGTTCAAGACCAGCCTGATCAACATGGTGAAACCTCGTCTCTATTAAAAATAAAAAATAAATAAATAATAAATTAAAAAATAAAAAAATAATTTTAAAAATTAGCCAAAAAAAAAATTAGCCAGGCATCGTGTTGTGCACCTACAGTCCCAGCTCCTCATGAGGTTGAGTCAGGAGGATCACTGGAACCCAGGAATCTGAGGAACTGTGATTACACCACTGCACTCCAACCTGGGCAACAGAGGAAGACCCTGTCTCTTAAAACAAAAAAACAGGCCGGGCGCGGTGGCTCACGCCTGTAATCCCAGCACTGTGGGAGGCCAAGGCGGGTGGATCACGAGGTCAAGAGATCAAGACCATCCTGGTCAACATGGTGAAACCCCATCTCTACTTAAAATACAAAAAATCAGCGGGGCATGGTGGCGCATGCCTGTAGTCCCAGCTACTCAGGAGGCTGAGGCAGGAGAATGCCTGAACGCAGGAGGCGGAGGTTGTGGTGAGCCAAGATCGCGCCACTGCACTCCAGCCTGCGTAACAAGAGCGAAACTCCGTCTCAAAAAAAAAAAAAAACTTCATGGACTCAAGTTATTTCTCATCCCCCACATGCTACTTTCTGCTGTGAAAAGAACAAACTCCAGTTGGAACAAGTGAAATGTGGAATCGGTGGTTCACTTTCCTCTTGCAGGTGCTCCTGCATTTTACCAACTGCCCCCTGCAATGTAACTTTTTCTTTCTGCTGATTCCATGGGAATATGGCTTCTGAAAATGAGGAAATTATTAACTAAAACACACAGACTTTTTTTAATCGGCTCTCATTGATAAGAGATTATGCAGACTTGGATGCTAACTAAAGGAATCTGCAAACAGCACCTCCACATACTCTTTTTGTTTCCTCCCCTGGTTGTACATTTTCCCCCCACGTCAGCCTTCTCTACACTACCCATTCTCTCTACATTTAGCTGAGGATCCTTCCTCCTGGGCAGTGAGGAAATTAAGTGATGGGGGAATTGAGGCAGGGTCTCCCTCAATAACCCCTTGCTGTCCCTCAGCCTCCTCCTTGCCACCTAGAGTCATATGTATCCACATCCACCATTATCTCCTCCCTCTCATCCCTGACTATAGGCATTTCCCCCAGTCCCAATCAAGCTGACACTTCTGTGGCCAGTTCTGTGGTTAGTCCATTTGTCTGAAATGGCCAACTCCTTTTAGCTTTAACTACCAGCCTAAAACTCCCTAGAAGGAGAGAATTCCATCTTCTATCCACGGAGGTGGCCACATGCTAAACCAGAGGTGAGCACTTGGCTCATGGGAACCAATCAGCTAACTAGCAATCTTCAATCTACTGAATTCTGCCCAGGGGTGGAACTATACCAGATTATCTTGGCTAAAAATTTGAATTCAGACTCACACACACTCTGCCAATTCCTGTGATGAATGCTAGAACAAAGAAGCTAGATGTGGTGTGAGTCATTCATTCATTGTTTAAATATATATATATATATATACTATGCTCCTGCTCTGACCCAGGCACTCTGCTAGGTGCAGGAATTCAGCATAAACAAGACAAGGTCCTGTTTTGGCTGGGTGACATCTATAATCTCACACCTGTTATCTCAGTAATTTGGGAGGCCAAGGCAGACAGATGACCTGAGGTCAGGAGTTCGAGACTAGCCTAGCCAACATGGCGAAACCCCATCTCTACTAAAAATACAAAAATTAGCCAGGTGTGGTGGCAGGTGCCTGTAACCCTAGCACCTTGGGAGGCTGAGATAGGAGATCGTTTGAACCCAGGAGGCAGAGGTGGCAGTGAGCCAAGAACACACTATTGAACTCCAGCCTCAGCAACAGAGTGAGACTCCATCTCAAAAGAAAAAAGTCATGTTTTCAATAGTTTACAATCTGTCACTCAAATAATTCTATAAAATCTCCAAGAGGTGCTATAAAATAGTGCCAGAACCTAGTGGAATCTGGAGGCTGGCAGTGGGAGCAGAGGAGAAAAGAGAGGGAACAGGGGGAGTATGAGAGTGGGCACAGATCTACACAGAGGAAATAGCATTTGAGAAAGTCCCAAAAGACGAAGAAAAGAGGAAGGAATGCAGCACATTTAAGGAACTGAAAGAAGGTCTGTACAGCCAGAATACATCAAAACTGAGAGGTACTTAGCCCAAGTGTGATACTGCTTTGACATGCTATCCTACACTAAAATTATTCAGCGCTTTAATGGACAGCAAAAAAATACAATGAGGCTAAAAAAACACATTCACATATAGGGACAAGGTTATCCCAGCCAAATGTTTCACCAACTTATTCTTTTTATTCTTTTTTTTTGAGACCAAGTCTGCCTCTGCTGTCCAGGTTGCAGTGCAATGGCACAATCTCGGTTCACTGAAAACTCCGCCTCCTGGGTTCAAGGGATTCTTCTGCCTCAGTCTCCCAAGTAAGTAGCTGGGATTACAGGCACAGGCCAACAGGCCGAGCTAATTTTTGTATTTTTAGTAGAGATGGGTTTCATCATGTTGGTTAGGCTGGTCTTGAACTCCTGACCTCAAATGATCCCCTCCCACCACCACCTTGGCCTCCCAAACTGCTGGGATTACAGGAGTGAGCTACTGTAGCCGGCCTACAAACTTCTTGCACTAGCAAAGCTTCCCTCATTTTCATGCTGCCTAGAAACCACGGCCCCACCATCTTTGTGCTGTGCAAAATTAAGTAAATTCACAGCTTTCTTGGGAAAACATGAGAAGTAGAAGACAGAGTTTGAGGAAGTTTTTGGTGTTTCTACTATGCTCCAAGCGCATTTCCCATATCAGGCAAGACCTACAGATATTCTCATCTAAAAAATCAGCCCCGCTCTGATAGCAACTCCATATTTAAGGTAATCCAGATAAGAAAAATGCTAATTTAATTTTAAAAACTATTTTAAAGCAAAACTTTTACAATACCTGGTAAAAGAGTTCCTCTTATTTCAAAGGTAATCTGAGAAGGTGTCATTCTGATGATTTATTTTATGATGTTGTGCTAGAAAAAAAGAAAAGAAAAAAACACTTATAGTATAAAAATATTAACTTTAGATAGCTACCATCAAGAAA